TGCTTTTTATTTTAAAATAAATAAGTAACCAGTCAGAGCAATTTGGCTTCCTAGATTATTAAATATGATGCTCTTATCAGAACTCACTGTGACTCATCATAAGGTGTTCTGCAGATACAGTACAATTCCTCACTGCTGCCCTCTTGTGCCCGTTTACAATCATTACAGATGTACACATCCATTTTCTTAGCCTCCTTTTCTGTGATGCCAACACATTCTCCATGATACCAGTTAGTACAAAGATCACAGCCAATATAGAACCTAAAAGTATTCACAATGAAAATGACAATGTAATTGTCATTTTGAGCCGCATGTACTTAAATCTGTCTTCCCTGCCCTGATTGACTTTCTTACAGGATAACTTTCTGCAATGAGTCAGCTAAACATCCTAAATCCAATCATTCTACCCCGGACAAACTAAGTATCTGACACTGTATCAAATGTGGAAACATAAAGTCACTCACATCAATTTCAACAAATACACTGTTTAGTAAAATATGGGTCTTTAAAAACATACTGGAATTTGAAAAAATAAACAACATACTGATGGTAATGTCTTCCTCTTAATGAATGTGTGTAAAACTGTAACAGGCACAAAAACCAAAGCCAAAGAATCAAAGACTTACATCTGTCAAACCTATTCCACAGAAGCCATTGCAATATCAAGGCTATTTCTTAGATAGGTTTGAAAATGTATCTCACAATTTAAATTTGAAAACAAAGCAAAGCGCAAACACCAAGTAGAAGTTACACTACAAGGAACATGCAGGTCAGCCAGGTGTAGAAGATAAATGGTCAAAATATGATATGAAGAGGAAAACTAAGAAAGGTACATGTAGTAATTCAAGTTCTACCGAGTTTCCCAAATAAACATTGGAATTTTAATCTAATTAAAAATCACCCCGTATAGTGGATTAAGACATAGGCCAGTTTTTAAGTTAATATAGTGTTTGTGACAGCGTGGAGAGTGGCTTGATTAACTAACTGGTAAAGAACTCGTAAGGAGCTGCTTCAATTCAAAACCAGGGACACAGGGCACAGAGAACAAGATAAGGATAGTTATCCGAAACCGTGTGAGGGTTCACACTATTTGGCAAGGTGGGGCTGGACGAGTGTGTAATTGTGGGTAACTACATACAGTAAACCCTCCAGGCCTTTGTATTAATAATATAAGACCCCTAGCAACAAAATGAAAGTTAACTCTATAACAAACACTTACACAGTATTCATGTATGTGTTGACAGGTGCTGTGTAGGAACACCATGCCAAAGTCATGGTTAGACTGGCAGGAATCACCGGGAAGCAGACTGGCCTTGCTGACAACATTGGCATTTTTAGTTCTCTCAAGGGATTTCTTGGTAGATTCACCTGAAGCTTCAAACTGACCTACTACGTGAATGTGAAGGAATAATACGCGGCATGTGGTTTATCCTATTACCACTAACTTTTTTTTTTTTTAACTATGATTTTCATTGCCACAGGTGGCCAAGGTATTTTTGTATGTTGCCTCCACAGGGTGGTAGGCTTTGTGTTCTGGAAGTAAGTTCAGGACTTGAATTTCAATTTTTAGTCACTCTCACTAGATTCCCAAACAAGCCTAGTTTAGGATGAAAGACTATGAAATACTCATAAAAAAACACTAACTCATCCCAACTAGAACAAGTAATGAATGAACCTGGTATACTGAAATGTTAATAATGACAAACTGAAAAATATGAAATATCCACAAAATAATGAAGCAATCTCAATAAAACGAGCACGTGTACATGTGCACCTCATTTTATGCAACTTAGATATCCCAAAAAAGTTGTGTGAAATGAATTTCTGTGATCTGAATACCCTATAGAGGCCAAGAATCATTGTTATTTGGAGAAATCCTATAAACAGATCTTTTCAACTAAGAAAAAGCAAATTCATGTTGCTTTGCTTCAGAAATCATTTAGTGTACTTTGCTTAAAGTGAGGCACACTTGTACTAAAATAAAGGAAAAATCAGTTAATAGAGTTCCACTTTTTACATTAAGTCTAATTTTCAATGAGATAAGACAATGAAAAGTGAAGATGCCTAAAATGATCTGTATTTAACATACAACTAAATCTACCAAAAAAATTTTTCATCTGTCACTTGCAAACAGATTGTAATTTAGATAGTGCCAGCAGAGCAGCTTCAATGTTGCGACCTGAACATCATTAAAGAGACTATGATTTTATTTTCATGAACTGATTAGGCATCCACTCAAGGTAGGCATTAAGCATTCCCAATTCTAAATGATCATATTTTTAAGCATAATCAAATAAATTTTTTGGCACTGTAAAAAATATTATGGTTAACTGTGGCTTAAAAAAGCTGGCCCACATTTTAATGTTCAAAATAGAAGCTAAATGCTTAGTTAAATGATAGTAATGACCAAAAAAAAATGAAACTACATTTATGGTTTAATGTCTTTAAACTTGTTTATATCACCAAATACAAGTCACAACTGTCAAAAACAGCTTCCATGCGCCAAATTTTTTGAGTGTCATACCTGAAGAACAGGTGAAAGGAATATTTTTTATATTTTTCTGGATTTTGTCCCTGATGAGAAAGTAGGGACTTTGACAAAAATGTTAAGTTGAAATATTTCAATACAAAAAACAGAACTGCTTAAAACAAAACAATTAAAAAACCAAACCGCCCAAATTCAAAACCTCTTGCACCATTCATATTCATTTAGATGGTTTCTAGGATTTAATGTAACCAGAGGGCTTTCAACAGATCCCAGAAAGGATGGTCTCAATGTTGGGCAACAACAATATACCTCCTTCTCCAGACAGCATTACTGATTTGGAGTTAATCCAGAGGGAAGAGAAAGCAAAGGAACCACAGAAAGCTTGTTTTTGACAGAAAAGAATATAACAAAAGACGAACAAGAATCACAAACATGTGAAATAGCAAATTTTACTTCACTAGTGTCAAGGTTAAGAATATCAGATGCAAGACCATAGATCAAACACCACCCTTACATTTAACTATTTTCATTTATATCGCTACCAATATACTCATTTTCTTCAAAACTATCAATTTAACAGCTCAACTTTTAAGACAATAAACTGAGATCAAAAAGATCTACTCACTTAGATTCATCATAAGGCGTTTTACAGATACAATAAAGCTTTGTGTCCTTCTTAGTTTCCTTTGAGGTAGTAGTGATCATTTTCTTCTTCTTGGACTTTGAGCTTGAGTCTTTTTCCTCTTCCCGCTTCCTCTTCTGGGAAGCCACGGGTAAGGTGGGCGTGGACAGAAGGCCTGTGTGCTGCACAGCAGGTGGAGGGGGAGGTGAGGGTGGAGGGGCTGGAGGAGCTGCCGTCACTGGGAGGGAGGGTGCAGCTGCTGCCGCGGCCTGCGCCACCTGCATCAGGTCTTTCTCTTTCTTAATTTTCAGGTCTCTCTTCAGCTCTTCCTGTCGTCAAAGATAATACAAGACTATCACTGATCTGGCCAGACATGACATTACCCTCCCTTGTCGAAGTAGCTCCATAGTTCGGCCTAATGTGAGAAAGTTTTAGTAATTCTGAACATGAGTTTTCTTACTATATCTTAAACCCAATGAAAACACCTAGAAATAGAAAATGGAGATTACACAACAACTAAAAAGCTGCTAATTATAGTATCTTCAAAGGAGACCTGAAAGGAAGATAAACAAGTATCTAGAAAGAATGTCCCTCCTGGCTTGCCCTTGACCTATCTTGGTTCTTTCCGTGGTTACTCAGGAGGTGACGTCAAGTGCCACTGGCTGCTCTCCTCTCGCTGCTCTTGTTCTGAGTCCTTACAGTGAGACTGAACACGAACCGAACGTGAGACTCAAACTGTGGGGCTGACCAGCACGAAGCAGCCTGAGAGGCAGATTTGCCTCGTGCTCCTAAGCCTAGGATTTAAGGCTGCAGGAAGAGCTAGGCAACATAACATACTATTTTCTCTATATGGATTTAGCCATAAATTAAAATTATTACTTATTTTCATGCAAAATACTTTTTAGCTACACTTCTGCTATTTAGTATTACAACTTATTCTTGGAAATGATGATCAAAGCAAATTGTATTACCCCAGGGAAAAACCACTGTAATTGGCATCCATGAACAAATTCTGTGTAAATAATTCATAGCTATGACCAGGAATATTTCTTAAAATCTGAGACATTTATAAATTTCTACAATAATTTAAAATACCAGGCCAGGTGTGGTGGCTCATGCCTATAACCCTAGCACTTTGGGAGGCTGAGGTGGTAGGACTGCTCCAGGCCAGGAATTCCAGACCAGCCTGAGCACCACAGTGAGATCCTGTCTCTACAGAAAAATATAAAAATTAGCTGGGTGTGGTGGCATGAGCCTGTGGTCCCAGCTCCTTGGGAGGCTGAGGCAGGAGACTGCTTGAGTCCAGGAGTCTGAGGTTGCAGTGAGCTATGATGACAACACTGCGCTCTAGCCCAGGCAACAGAGCGAGACTCCGTCTCAAAAAAAGAACAACAACAATAACAACAACAAAAAAACCCAACAAAACCCAAACTATCTTCTTCATGATAATTATCTTCCTCCCTAAATTTTATAGTCTCTCAGGACAATAATTTAGATAGCCCACATTTCCTTTAAGAGTTTTCTATGGTGGGCTGAATTGATTTTTTTCCCTCCTTTAAAAAAATGAAGATTATCCTATTGATCTTAGACCTATATTCAGAGTTGGAAACATTCTTTTAAAAACTGCTAAACATTTGAAGGGATTCCAGGTATTAAAGGTAGAGACAGATAGAGAGAGAGAGAGAGAGATTGACTGATTCTTTAGTCTCTTAATATAATGGTACAGTAGACAAAAGTAGAAAACAACAAAACACTGATTCTTAAAAAGCAGCCTGTATTCTGTTCACTACTTACTCTTCTGATCCCATTTTTGCTATTATGGTAGATTCACTTACATTCTAGACACAGAAACACATAGAGACACAGAGTAGCTTCTGAGTAGCAAAATGACAGTAGCTGCTATAAATAATTATTTAAACGAATTCTTGGACCTACAGGAGTTTTATAGATTCTAAAGCAGAGATTTGAGGTAGATGTCTACCACAAAAAAATAAATAAATAAAAAAGAAACCCAGAAAAAAACAAACACAGGCCGGGCGCGGTGGCTCACGCCTGTAATCCTAGCTCTCTGGGAGGCCGAGGCGGGCGGATTGTTTGAGCTCAGGAGTTCGAAACCAGCCT